ATGTTTTTGGATGGCTTGATTTTTTTTTTTCATTTTTTTCTTTGCCTTGATGATGACTGAATTGGCGTAATGTTAGCAACTTAACTGTTCACTTGTGTGTTAAAGACGCATGACTTTATGGTTTGGATTGTTTCATTCATTCGAGCTTTATACTCATCTTAGTAGTTGTATTTTTTATTGTATTAATAATAATACAATCTGACACAATCGAGGTCATTGGACATTAAGGCTCTATGTGTACATTCATACTATTATATACGAATAGTAGTTTTTATTAAGGATTAAGTTTTATAGTTTCGTTTTTATTTATTATTTGAAGGTGTCCAACTACTTTTTGAAGCCTGGTTATTACAATATGAAGTATCATACTTTTGTTTTATGTTTAAAACATTTTTTTCACTCTAGCCTTCGATCAGTCACTGACACCTTAATAGTGCTTAATAGTTATTAATGTAAATTGTGAAATAATTAATAAATAAATATATTGTCAAATTAGTTTATTTGATTTAAATTTTGTTTCATTCTCGACATCAATTCGACCACTACTATGTTATATGCTGATTTTGAGTGAAGGTGGAGTGGAATACATCAAATGCTTTATCCTCTTCTAGGAAAAGATAGAACAAATCTCCGAACTAAACTAACTGATTATTTTGCAATAAATGTTAGGTTGTATACATGCAACATGTTGTGAATAATTTTTAAATAATATTCGAACGTCTGTCGATAAGCTTTGCGAATTTTGAGACGACCGATACTAACCCTAAAGGCTCGTACACATAGATGGTGATGCATCCCAGCGATGTGATATTGCTGTTCGCGGCGATCTGGCAATATAGTTTCGTTACTCACTATTCCTCTACCACAGTCATACAGAGCGCATTATTCCGCAGCGAAATAGACGAAAAAGAGATCTCTGAACTCTAGGATGTATCGCTGTCCATGAGGACGAAACTTTAATGTCATCAAATCAGTACCAACCATTTCTTGTTTCAGAAGTTTCTAATTCACAAATATACAATATTTAAAAACATTTAATTTATATATTTTGCCATTATCCTACTGTAAATTATGGTATATGTACCATTATTAATCATATTATACTAAGTGTATATCCCACAAAGAATAGAAGATTTTCTTCTTTGTTATCTGGAATATCCTCAGATTTTTATTTGCCGGTTATTATTTCATTTAATCAATGGCTGTATCTGTATCATGAAATGGTAGAAAGTTCGATGATTTTTTTTTTAAATTAGCTCCACGAGTTTTTAAACAGACCCACTTTCATAATAGTGAGCTTCTGATCCTAAACCCATATTTTTATATTAAAATATTTGAAGATTATTCTCTTATATACTTCCATCTCCCTTTAATTTATTTCCTGTTGAACTCTTGTAGTAATTTGCTGTAAAATTGCGGTCAAAATCTTACTATTTTCAATGTCCGAACTATTAAATAATACTTGGTTAAAGAGAATTTTCAAAAAAAATATTGCTTTGGCGAAGTACTCTTGAGTTGAATATTCAATTTATACATTAGCAATGGTTTCTACTGCCCAATACCATGCTTTCATTCCCTCAACTACATAAAAAAAAATGTCTTAAGATTTTTATGATGTGTCGCATTGAATATCTTCGTATACAATTAAATTAGTGGAAAACGAACGGCCAAATTGCTAACTATCACGATAAACAGATTTGAAGCCTAATTTTTTGTTTGTTTTCTTAGGATGATATAAATATTAACATCGTCGTAATAAATAATATGAATAAATAGTTAAATTTCAGTATAAGACTTCAATGGACGTCTTAGGTCAACAAATGAAATAGAAGGGTTAAAGTTATAGTCATCCAGCATTTAAATTTTGACCTATGATTCAATACTACACTATCTTTTCATCGAAAAAATTGAAATTTAAAAAAAAATGCACTATCAGAGAAAGTTGAAATTGAAATTTTAAATTTAATTTTATTTGTTCTTAATTACATTCATTCATTTTTTTTTTTGTATGCACATATTGTACGAATGGATACCTTCAGCTCTAATACTTATTGCCCTTGGGTGTGGCAGATTGAGTTGGTATTCAATAAATTTAAAAAATATATTAATTTTTTTTTTTTTTTTCTAGTCACATTCTTCGGGTTTGGTGCCATTTTCTCATAATTTAACATATGTCTATTTTAGGCCATAGGTCACCAAAAAAACACAGTTTTTTTATTTATTTCCTGTATGTTTATTCAACGTTTCGGCTTCAGGAGCCATTTTCAAGAACCTGCAAAACATGCACCGCGCCATAAAATTTTTAAAATTTGTCATTACGATATGACTCGTCCTAATTCATTCTTTTATTTCAAAGAATGTCGTTTTCCGTTTCTCTATTTGCAGACGGTATCAAGAAAGTATTGTTCTTCAATAGGACATTCATACAGGACTCATATCGTAATGACAAATTTTAAAAATTTTATGGCGCGGTGCATGTTTTGCAGGTTCTTGAAAATTGCTCCTGAAGCCGAAACGTTGAATAAACATACAGAAAATAAATTTAAAAAACTGTATTTTTTTGGTGACCTATGGCCTAAAATAGACATATGTTAAAATATATTGATTTTGAAAAAAATTTCTATTATTAACCTTATAGGTTATGTACCTTACAGTATTATATATCACAGGAAAGAGCATTCATTATGTATTAAGATGATTAATCCTACTGTTTTCCGTTTTGGAGTCCTTTTATGATTTCTTTATAGCCGTCTAATTTAAAAAAGAGTTGACTTATTCCAATAAAATTTCATATTTGTTCAAATCTCTATAAGTAGTAGAACCGTGCCGAATTTCAATAAAATCTGAGATGGTGAGATGCATTGTGTGGAATTGACAAGGAATGAATGAATAGTATCTTCCTCACCTCTGCTCTGTTTGGTTTTCAGTTTGCTGCTGCATACTACTCTGAAGCATTTTAGTCGATTCTATCTATCGATTTATGCGTAAAATTATACAAAAACAAATTCTATTCTCATCTATCATTTTTTACTACCTCAAATATAATGAATGTACAAAAAATATCCCTACTTAGTAATTTTTTTATTTCTCCTTGGTTCTTAATAATATAACATCCTGAAATAATAGATTAAAAGATTTCATTAATGGAAGCAAAAATTCAGAAATTACTAAAGCCCAGATGAGAAAATGCAAATTAGCCATGCTTTAACATTTCGGATTGTCAAAAGTCATCAATTATAACATAAATTAAGAGATGACTTTTAATGAATATTATTGAGTATATTATTTATTACTTCTGTGCTAAATAATTGTTAAAATTGTTTCTTAATTTAATGGTTCTATGAATACAATTTTTTACAGTGTTGACTATCTTTTATATTGTGTATAGACATAGACTTCCGATTTGAATGAGGGAGGGAGTTTTTTTTATTTGTAAAATTCAACATAATTATTGTGAATCAAACAAATATAATGATGAATATTTAAACTTAATTTATTTATATGTTCGTATAGTTGTAAGGATTTTTATTTTTTTGTTTTACTTATTATATATACTTGAAAATTACTAAAAAAAAATACATATGAATATATAACTTATTTGATTACACACAGGGAGGAGGAGAGTCTGCTTTAATAACGTGGGTACATTTTTAGAACTTTTTCTACTAGAGAGAGAGAGAGAGAGAAAAATACTTTATTTAAAGCAGTGCTGCCATACTATATAGGATTGCTCGATACGCAGCATACTCATGAATTGTTTTTTTGGACATAGCACTTAATTACACTTAATCATATGTTTGTATATATATATACAAATTATTTTTCATATTACACAGCATAAACAATATCAATAATAATATTATAATACTATAATATACTAATACACACAATTACAATTATACAATATATGATAAATACATATTTCGGTGAAACCGATACAAGACAATTTCTGAAATTTATGGGACAAAGAAAAAATATATATAGTATTCGAACGCCAAAGTTTTAAAACCAGAAATATAAAATTTCTGATATAAATAAATAAAATAATATAATAAATAAAAGAATAATATAAAAAAGTGAAAAATATCTTTGATTTATGAGCGCGTACAACGTCAAATAAAATTACGTTTTTTCACAGTCCGACTGATTTCACTTGAAAAGTGTGATATGAATATCACATGAAAATTGAGTGGTGATTGAATTATAAAACTCTATGATATGTTGATATCTTCGAATATAAATGTTAATTTGAATAAAATTAACATTTAGGTATAAATGAAATAGTTACATACTTAGTCTGGTCTGGTAGTAAATTTTTCTTAATCGATTTTATTTTACACATTTTATTCATTCATATGAATGGTTCTATGAATAAATTTTGTTACAACGTTGATTATCTTTTGTATTGTATTGTGTATAGACGCAGACTTCCGATTCGAATGGGGAAGGAGTTTTTTTATATTTGTAAAATTCAACATAATTATTGTGAATCAAACAAATATGATAACAAAAGCTACATAGCTTATTTATTATTAGTTTTAATTATTTTTATTTTTTTATCTCAAATTATTGGGGGAAGGGTAAAACGATATTCTCGCTGCTTAATATTTTTATTGGAGTGGGGTAGCCCCTTCTCTCTTCCCCGGAAGTCTGCACGTATAATATTCCGGAGTTGTGAAGTCTGTAGACTATATATTGTTCTTTCTGTGATAAAAAAACTTTTTATCGGTATTTAAATTATGTTTAATAATTAAATTATTTCCTCCTGGGCTCATTTCTGTTTGGAAAATTGTTTCTTTTCTTCATTGTTGGTGTTCGGGTATGGATTCCAGAGGTCAATATGGACCGGAATATCTTCTTCTTCGAACCCGGTAAATTTTCTTCAAGGGGTTAGACCACATACCCAATCGTGAATAAACCATTCAAAGAAAATAAATGTCAAGGTAACTAAATCACAAATACGGTATGTTTTAATTAATTTTTTTTTTAAATGCATTGTCATATAAGAAAAAATGTTATTTATAAAAACATACAATAAACTTAAAACGTATTTAAATAAATTGCTTAGTGAAGTCTTGAAGTTGCGGTTTGCAATTCATCCCAAAATATAAGGATTAGATCCAAAAATAAATTGTTCCAGCGTATCTATCGCCTGGCCCCACTGAAAATTCAAAATCGATATTAACATATTTTTAAGTGATCGTTGTTGAAAAGTTTATATTACATTATAAATAAATTAAATTTAGTAATTCACAAGAGGGCCCGTTAAATATATATTAATATAAACTTATTATATCTTAATACAATATACACGGTATTTCAGGGTTAAGTGGCCAAACTTAAAATATGAATTAAAGGACCTCGAAACAAAAAAAAAAAAAATATCCTGTGGAGATAGTCCGCAAACGCTTTGTTTAGGAGATATTCACACTTGATCTTTTATTTTGATGTATAGGAGATATTTTCATTGTTATGAATTATTCACGTTATATTAAGTAAATAAAACTTATTCCAAATACTTTATTAATTAAACGTAAACATTACATGTTGTTCAAAGTGATTTCCTTGAGCATTAAGACAGGCTCGGCATCTTTCTACAACAGCAGCAGTGGCAGAATGGCACTGGATATGTGTTATTGTTTCACAAGATTCAATTATCCTTCTTCGTAAGGAATTAAGGTCATTAACCTTCATAAACTTTTTGTTTAATGTCACCCCTGACAAAAAATACAGTGGTGTCAGGTCTGGAGAGCGTGCAGGCCAAGCCACTGGTCCTACATGGCCAATCCACTGATTGGGATAATTAACATTTAGCCATTGTCGTGGACCTCTTGCGTAATGAGTCTAGGCGGCAAGAAATGCGGGCCTATTAAAATATTGTCTATTATCTCCAACCACACATTGCACTGAAGCTGTTACTGTAAATGATGTTCACGAATAGGTTTTATTTATTTAATATAACGTAAATAATTCATAACAACGAAAATCTTCAGGCGTGAATACCTCCAAAAAAAAAAAGGACATACCTTCAGAAGGAATGTTTTTCTTGTTTTGAGATCCTTAGATCATTTTTTGCAGTTTGGCCACTTAACCCTGAAAAACTCTGTATAAGTGTCTTTAATTATTGTTCAGTATTTCTGTATTAATGTATTTTTATTGTTTGTATTACATTTTTCCTTAAAAATTCATTCTATTAAAAAGTATAAAGAAAAAATTGCTTTGTCACTAAGCCTAAAATAAAAGAGGAAGTAATATACAAAAATATCATAAAAAATATACTACGGATCATGTATTGTTGCATATCAACCTTTGAATCTTTAAGGATATTATTGACGCAGTACATACTATTGAGCAAAAACTAGGCAATGCAAGTATTATTAAATAATATTTTGATTAACTCGATAAAAATTTTTCAAAAATCAAAAGATCATCTAATCAATATGCAGAATAATTTTAATTTTGTAATTAAAATATAAAGTAAAAACAAAAATTATAATAAAAAAATATAATTTGCATAGTAAATTTTTAGCATTAATTTGAATGATTGTTATAGCACATTCACTCAGTAACCAATTATTTATAATACTGAAGAGAAACTGAGATTTTCCTGAGACTCAGCTTTTCTCTCCATAATTGAAAGGGTAATTATAGTTTCGAACTTCCCTTTTAGATTTTTAATAGTCTGTTGAAATTTGTCGGCTTTTAAGTTGTTTTCGTACCATTATTTAATTTGCTAATTATTAATTTCTTATTATTTTATTTATTTTTTTATGTTAAAGTTTGAAGTTTGAATAAATGTATAAATGAATTATTTTATTAATATTTAAGTTCTTAATTGAGACATAATGTAATATTTCAAAATAAACTTTTATAAAACATGTAGAACGCAGGCTATATAATTTTTACTCTTTTCACAAATTATTTGATATTAAATCTCAAATATTCATCAGATAAAATTTATATCTTAACTAATACTAAAATACATCAAGAAACATACATTTTATAAGATTATGTTTGAATTATTACACTGTCAATATTTTTTATAATTACTAACCAGAGTCAGTTAATTACTATTTATATTTATTAATAATTAATTTTATCAAATATAAAAAAATAATATTCATTATTACTTACTCCATCCATGTTGGGAGTATCTGTTGTTGATGAATTGTAACGCTTCTCAATTTTCTAAAATAAAACTAATTTATTTTTGTATGTTAGGAAAAATAAATACATAAAATAATTTATTTTTGTTTTTTCATCAGTACCAAAAGTTATTTTATTTCGTGTACATACAAAAATAATTAATGCGGAACTCGAAATTGAAGATATAAAGGACGCTTCTGAACATTCCACTTTATTATTTAACGTTGAACATTCTAATGTAAATTGAAAATTGGGAAATAGTTAATAGAATCTGAAACATTAAATAAGCTTTATAGTTACAGAACTAGTAAAAAAGTATTAAACTGTTTTCTGTATTTAAATTTTGATTGATATTTAATACTATTAAGAATATAAAAATAAAATAAAAAAAATTATTTCATTTTCGATAAAATAAATTTAATATCAATTAGATAATTTGAGATTTTTGATTGAAATAATTCAATTATATTAATTTTTCTTTAACAAATTATGCATTGAGGAAAACTTTTTCATATTTAAATAATAGTATAGGAAGCCATAAAATACTGTATTGTCTGACACACAATACACACTTAAACTATGTATTAATAAATTAGTTAAGGTTAAGTAAATTTATACTCGCGTCATAAAAATAAAATTAAATAATTCTTACGTGATCTGGTGCACTCGAAATCAAATTGAGGTAACAAATGACCAAAAAAATTGAGATAATGAAGACTTTCATCTTGATATAGAGAAGCAAAGGAAGGGAATGGGCCCTATTAGGAAGTTGGGATTTCTAAAAACCTTTTTGTCTTTATGCTAGATCACGTTCAGAGAGCAATGGTGATGGAAACATTATTCAGTCGTATCAGTAACGAAGCCTACAATAATAGGAGATTGACAGATATGGCGAAGCATTATAGAGAGAAAATAAACTCAACTCTGGGCGGATCAATAATATCGAAAACTCATCTAACTCATGGAAACCATTGATGGAATTCATTGAGTTATTTATCCCTCAATTGAATTACCAAAGGCTAAGTGGTTCCATCGGTTTTTGGGTTCGATTGATTTGCTGGATGTGCCTCGTTATAACCTCAGTGCTGTTATTTCTATATGTATTATATATATTCATATTCAGTTTACTTTTTATTTTTATTTAGTTTTGTTTTAAAATTCAACTATAAGTAGGTAAGTATTTCCTTAGACATTTTTAAATTATAAGCATTTATAAACTGCTTTCAACTTTTATATTGCTATGTTTTATCTCCACAAAAGAGATGTTTGTTATGCTTGCTATGATCTTAATGGCTGGCAGAATTAAAATAACTCTTACTGAAAAACTTATTTTATTCTTATGTTTAATAAACCATATATACAAATTACATTGAAATCAAAACATGACTTAATGAATTCAATAATGATTATTTATTTGATGTTTTGTTGCCTCTACCCTGTAGGGTCATTGGCAACACCTTTAAATTACACTCTGTTGTAGAGTTTTATCTATTTTAAAAACCTTAAAGTTTTTTTGACTGCACTTTCACTGTCTTGTAGATTTTCTTTTAGACTCTGTGCCATGTCTAATTTTTTCCTTGTAGGTCCAAATGTAGGACAGTCTTGAATAATATGCTTTACAGTCCTTTTGACGTTGCAGCTCTCGCAGGTCGAAGAATCAAGTCGTCTTAGTAGGTAGGAGTGCTAGAACTCACAATGTCCAATTCGTAATCTGTAAAGGGCTTTTCGAGAGGATCGGTGAGAGGTTTCCTATTTTAAATAGTGGGTTTTAATTTCCTTTAAATTCGATTCTTTTTGTTCTCACTTATAGCATAATAATATTTTGAAGAAAAAGTTGCTGGAACATACCAGGCCTACCTTAAATACGTAATTTCAGTTTCGTGCGATTTTTCATTTTTGAGCTAGGCTGGTCATATACAAACACGCGCACATAGATCATTTTGTGGGACTTAGTTATTTGGACTCAGGGCATCTCAAAACGTATATTTCCGTTGAAAAGTCAGATTCAAAAATGTTCGCGATCGTAATTCTTTTCCTTAATATAAATTTGATATATAGGTAAGTGAAAGTAATAATTTAAGGAATAGGTATTATTTTGTTAAAAAAATAATTACATTAATTAAAAATATATATCGAAATTATTATGAATCTATTTTTAATACACCAAATCATTTCTTATCAAAATATAAAATCATATTATAAGTTATTCAATGCCACTACAATCTAGCCATCTAATCAGAGTTTATGGCATTTGTGCCCACGATTTTTTATAAATATTTGAAAATTGTTAGATATTTCTTCATCATTTAATTCCGCTAGGGAAAATGTTCTTCGGTGGTGGATTCCAGATTAATGGTACGGATAGAAATACCATTCAGGTTAAACCTCACAAAATTCACTGGTTCAGAGTGGGCGGGGCTACCGAACGGGATCAATGAGACAATGGATTTAAAATAGTCACGAGTTCGAGTACCGGTGCCGGGGGAGTATCTTGAATTCCCGCCCACACCCCCTGGATCGGGAAAACCTCGTATAGCCTTAAAGGCGAGGAAGTGGAGGAACCAAAAAAAAATTCCTACTTCACAATTGTTACACCTGGTAATAGTGAATGAGCGTTTTAAAGGAAAAACGTTAAAACAATTAAACAATATATAGGGTATGTTTTAATTTATTTTATTAAAAAAATACATTGTCATATCATTGACGAAATATAATAAATAAATTTATAAAAAACATGAAATAATAATAAAAAGCAGATAAATAAATATTTTGTAGAAATCTTCGTTCACAATTCATCCCAAAATATAAGGATTAGGTCCAAATAGAAACTGTGCCAGCGTAACCACCGTCTGGGTCCACTGAAAATTCAAATTTGATAATAAATATATTGATAATAAGTATTTATTGTTAAAATTATATTTTAAAATCTAACTAGAAAAAATCACACTAACTTACAGTGAAATAGGAAGATAAAATATTTATTGCTAAATGGTTTGCAAAAATTCTACTTCCTTCAACGCTGTATTTACACTTTTTTTTTTTACATCATCTAGAAATCATTATAAACTACACTTCTAATGTAAACAATTAATTTAAAGACTGTATCAGTAAAATTTTAAAACACGAAAAGTTTGCTTACAAATTTTGGGTAAGCAATCCTTTTTTGTTCTGAATATATTATTATACAATTACATTGAAAGTAAGATAAAAACAATTCCCGATTGCAATTATTAGCTATTAGTATCAAATATTTTTCAAATTAGCTTGCTATCATAAATAATACTGAAATACAGCAATAAGCATACATTTTATAAGATAATTGTGAATTGATGGTGATCAATAAAAAAAAATAGTAAAAATTAATATGTATATTTATTTTTGAATATTTAATAGTTGACCGCTGCATTATAAAGGAAGGAGATGGTCCGGTGGTTTAATAAAAAAATTAAAAAAAGAAGGTGAAAGCTATAGATTAAAAATTGTAAATAATAAACTTAAAGTAAAATAAAATAGATGGAATAATTACAGTAACAAAGAACTATGAAATAAATAATAACGGTAACTAAGTAGGGACTAATGAAATAAACATAATCAAAATAGTATAAGAAATATATCAGGTAACATAAGAAATGAAAAATAAATTAACAACGAAAATAATGTATGGAAAATGAAAGGAATGTATGAGATAAAAAACGTAAGTGTATACAAAAAATAAATGGGGTGACATAATTACTAAAATATTATATAATTGTGTGCTAAAAAAAAGCGAGATAATCATTTTTTTTTTTTTTTTTTTTTTTTTGAGAATTCTATTAAGTATAATTAAGGACCAGTAACATGAAATAACAATAACAATAAATAATAACGATTCTTACGGAATACATGCCTTTAGTGCAATAAATATCATACAATAAAATGTAAAGCAGGGAAAAGGAATATAAATTTCTTTATAGTTTCTCATACCTATTGTTATCTGTTTTTTTCTTAGCTCTGACGAAGGCCTGAACTTTGGGCCGAAAAGTCGGCAAAAATAAAAATAAATTTACTTATTAAATATTTATTAATCCTATTTTTTTTACTGACCACCCCAATCATTCTTCTCCTCAGTTCTTTTATAAGATAATGTTTAAAGTTTTACACACCGATATTTTTAATACTCAATAGTTTTTAATACTTAATACGTATTAATATTTATTATTCATTAATGATTAATTTTACCAAATATTAATATAAAAAAACAAATAATCGTTTCTACTTACTCCGGTTAAGTTGGAAGTCGCTGTTGGAAAGAAAATGTAACGTTTCTTGATGTTCTGAAACAAAAAGTTAAATCTATTTTAGTATGTTTAGAAAAAAAAAATACATGGAATAAAATAAAACAGAGAAGATGCTAGCGATGATTTTTTTTTTTTTTTTAATATTTTATTATGTTTCAGCATTTTTTGTATCTTGCTGTTTCAATAATCAGTTTTAAAAGTTATTTTATCTGATACTTTGCTTTTGTGGTTATTAAAAAAAGTAGAAAATTAAATTTGAATTCGGAACTTGAAATTCAAATATAGAGGAGAATTTCTTTTTAAATATATTTATCATAGAACATTTAATAGTAAATTTAGAAATCACTAAATATATTTATTGATTTAAAGTATTTAAATTTTTATTTTTATTGAATATTTATTAAGACCATAGATAATAAAACAAAAGCGTCATAAACCTATGAATTCCTCTCCTACAGTATCCTTTAACAATACCCCACTCATCCCTGTTGAACGAATCCGATAACTAGGACTCTACCTGGACAAACGACTCACTTAGACCAGCCTAAAACAGGACCTCATACCATAGACCAAAATGAATAGATAACGTCCGAGTTTTCGACTTACTAGACAAACGCTCTAAACTTCCAATTATTTACAAAAATACTGATATATATTATTATAATAATGGCTATTTGGACCTTAGGGATCGAGCTTTGAGACTATAGTAAACTATCAAATTCATCTGGTATCCAATCCTTACAATCCAAAATCCTTCGTAAAATTCTCAATGCTTTTTACTTTGTCACAAATAAAATCATCCATAAAGACCTTAATGTACCACATGTTTCCGATTTAGCTCAATCCAAATACCTATCCTTCCATAATAAACTTCTGAACCATTCGAACCATCTAGTGATGCCAGGGGATAGTATCTCAACAAATCTGTTTATGCTGATGCTCAATAAATAAATAAAAATAAATTACAATATAGAAATTCATGAAATAATAAATGTGAATTGTCCGATACACACACTATTTAAACTAAACATAAAAAAATTAAATAAACTTAAAATAGTTTACATCCGCATCGGTAAAATTAAATAAAATCTCTTACGTGATCCGGTGCAGTCGAAATCAAATTGAGATAAAAAATAACAAGAAAAGCTGAAAGAATGAGGATTTTCATATTGCTATGGAGATGCAAAGAACAAGATTGAGTTTTATTGAAAAATTACAATCGTTAAAAACCTTTTTGTCTTTATGCTGGATCACGTTCAGGAAGCAATTACTATGGACAAATTATTCTGTCGCACAAGTTCCGGATTTAGGACCCTCTACAAAAATAGGAAATCCAGAAATATGGCAAATCATTACATAGAGCAAGTTCTTAAACACAACACTGAGCGCATCCAGGAGGGCATCGATTCACCTGATGGTACTATAACTCAAGGAAACAATTCAGCCCGTTCCTTTATTTAACAATTGAATCAACAATGGATCAGCGGTTCATTGGTTTGAGGGTCGGATGTAGGCTTATAATAACCACAGTGTTGTTATATTTTTATTTATCTTAAATATTTATATTCAGTTTATTTTTATCTGTATTTATTTCTGTTATGTTTTTTTATTTTTCAAGTGTTTTTTATAATATTTTAGGAGTGTTCAGCTTAGAATCCAGCATATGGTATCAAAAATCAGCAGAAATCCCTGTCCATCGCTACTTAACATTAAATTTTGACTGAAAAATTCTAAGAATCTAATAAATTGGAAGATATCATTTATAAAGTTACAACTTTATAAAATACAACGAAATTTAATTTGCGTTAGACTGTTTGATATTTTATAACATTTTCGATCCGAAAATATCTATAACTTAAAAATATATATAACACATATTATCTATAACAAATCTATATCGAAAACATCTATAACACATTGGAGTGTACATTCGGTTTTGACAATTTATTGGGATATTTCATTTGAACACGAAACAATTTTGTTATTGACATTTTGATGCTTGTTAATATTGCTTGATAAATTTCGAAGTGTTGATAGTTAATAATTTGATTAAATATTTCGATTTTTAAAATATATTCATGACATTCATAATTGTATTTGAAATACATTCAGTAAATTATTTTCTGTATATATGATGTGAATGTGTTCATATATCACTATAATTATTGTCCACGTGACAGATTATTATATTTCTAAATAAATAAATTTTAACAAAGTAAATGTAATAAGAGGAAATAATAACATGAAAATACTTGTTGAAAAACTACCCACTGGTAGCCCTCTGAAAATGTATTAACAATAGCAGATCTCGACGTCATCTTCTTTTCAGACGGCTCGGAGGATTATCAGGGATCGAAGAGGAAGCAATTTTAGAAACGAGAGGACTGAGATATTTCTGGTTTATTATGGAAGGATAGGTATCGGGTAAGGTCTGGGTCAAATCTGAAACATAAGGAACATTAAGGTCGGTATGGATGATTTTATTTCTAACAAACTACAACATTGAGAATTTTACGAAGGATTGGATACGAGAGGAATTCGATGGTTTAGTAAAGCCGCATAGCTCAAGTAGGTGAGTCCAAATAGTTCTTATTGTAGTCATGCATATGAGTCTTTTTTAATTATTTGGAAGCTTAAAGCGTTTGTCTAAGTTCTAAAGTGGTCGGAATTTTAATTTTTAAAAAATTTGTTTTAAACTTAAAAGTATTATTCCTTAAGTATTAGACCCAACTTTTCTGATTTTGTATATCATTTATCAGATCCAAAAATACCATTAAAAAATTTTTACTTGGTTTGCTATTCAAGATGAATTAAATGACCCTATGACGACATGAAATCACTAAAGCGCCAAAACAGCGGGTTTTTTTTTTTTTTTTCTATCAAACCAGCGTTCGAAGTGACATAGTTCTTGAATTTATTGTGAAAAAAATGATTTAGTTGTGGATCTGTCAAGTTTGGATGTATTTATATTCATAAGTTTTGTCTTCGTTCCTTTGTATTCTTCTTGGATTGAAAAACATTAGTGTACATAATCTTATACTGACTTCCATCTCTTAGTCTATAGGAGAACTACATAATCAAGGATCTTCTCACCAAAGACATAGGTCTAGAGTACAATAATGGATTTACAAAAGCATGGATGCCCATCCCGTCCAAGGTCGATAGGCATCATAGATTATTTTATTTATTTATATACGATATCATATACAATTAGACTTGCTACGGTATCATCCATGTTTTCCCCTCGTCCATTTTTCCGAAAATGCATAACCCCGTCGAAATTTGCCACCCTCAAAAATTCAAAAACATGTCAAAGTATGCCCCCTCAAAATTTTAATGGCACAACTTATGGAAACCCCCTTCTAGGCACCCTTGAGTAAAAATACTTTAAAGCATTGTAATGAAGAAAAAAAAGAACAATTTTTTTTTTCTATTTATAAGATTTTATGTATGTGTATGTGTATATTGTAATATGTATGTGAGATGTATTTCATTTTGTTTATTCCTCACCATGTATATATTTATATTTTTCCCTCTCGATCTTGGTATATAGTTTATTATACTATTTAGTTGTTTACAATATCATTGTGAGTTTTTTTTTTGTTTGTTTTTTTTCCCCAATTCCCACTTCTATAAAATGCCCTCGGGCAGTGGAAGGAATTTATTGCATGTATATATTGTATTATTGTATACTATATATGTAATTGTTTCAATAAACATATTTGAGGGTAAGAACAAAAAAAAAAAAAACATTGTGAGTTTTCAATCAAATGCCTTAAATAATATATATAAATGATTCATTTTCTTTATTTAATTTTTTTTTGCTACAATGGTTTTCTCATAACATTAATTTACCATATGTGCTTGTTTCTTTTAGGTGAAATATTTATATCATCGTAAAATAAGGCTTTGTTTTATTATTTCTCCACCATATTTATTTCAGTCTATATCAGTTACGTTTCGACTAGTAAGCCATTTTATTTAATCATGCTTGTTGCAGCTGGCCTTAATCAGATTGAACTAAAGACTACATGCAACAAGCATGATTAAATAAACTGGCTTGGAAATGGATTACTAGCCGAAACGTAGCTGATGTAGACTGAAATAAATATAGTGAAGAAATAATAAAACACAGCCTTATTTTATAGTATTAATTTACTGTTTATTTCCAATTTTATTTACTTTTTTTTTTCGTTCTTCCCTTCCTCGCCTTTTAGGCTATATGGGGTGACAGGAGAGTGCCCGAATGGTACGGATAGAAATACCAACCAATTTCCACCTGAAACGATTCCAGGTTCACAAGTGTTACACAACATAATTGTGAATGAACATTTTAAAGAACAAAATGTTAAGGTAATTAAATAACAAATAGGGTCTGTTTTAATATTTTTTATTTAAAATAAAAATGCAATGTCTGAAAATGTCAAGCGGTTTTGTTATTGGTATTGCATAAATCCAAGACCAAGATCGATTTTAGGCAGCACTAATATTTCCAAGAATGTTAAACATTCGCTAGAATACATCAGTTCGTTATTAAAGTCAGCGTAAATCGCTGTCCTTCGCTACTGGATCCAACCGATTGATGGTGAATTTAGGAACTTTTTCATGGTGTTCATATTTTCAGAAGGTCACACTTTATTTAGTCATCTGACATTAGGTGTATCATTGCTCTTTGTTACATTTCCCTCTAGTCTGTACATTGATTTACCATTGGAATTTGAAGGTTAGTAAATGAAACTGCAAAATGCAAGACCAAGACCGATTTGGAGCAACACTAGCCATAAAAATAAAAAATAAGAAATTATGTGTTTCTATTCGATTTCGCTCGATTCAAGAATTTCGACATATTTGAATCATTTTTAGAGTATGATAAGAATGATCATTCAGTCATAGTTTACTAGAGTAATTTATGCATAATTATAATTGTATATATTGTAAATATTATTACATATCATAGAACAACAAATTAAATTTTATCTTATTAATCTTTTAACGTTATCACTTCTATCGTATGGCCCACGGGCGGATCTACGTAGGGGATGGGAGAGGGGCTTTGGGCCTGAAGCCCCCCCCCCCCAAAAATGGTAAAATATAACCATGTTTTATAGAATAAAAAGATTAAGAAATTATCTCTTAAAGTATTATTGTTCGTGTAATTACATTTAAAAGGACTTTAGGACTCACTTAAACACCATTTCATATAGGTAGTTAGTTTCTTTATTTTTTTTCCAAAATAATATCGTTATTTTTATGAAAAAAAAAGCTTTCGGCCTGAAGCCCCCCCCCCCAAAAAAATTAAATCCTGGATCCACTAATGGTATAGCCTGAAACACACACCGTTGCTTTTTTTTTTTTTTGTTTTGTCAAATTACAAATTATTGTTGAATGTTAATAAAGTTTGACAGTTTATTAGTTTCCGAGATATTTCTTCGTGTCGAACAATTCGTGTCGAATCGAGCCGACTTTGCCCGAATGAGAGTTGCATAGCCGAATCAGTCTCCTTCACTACCCCAAAAAAAAGAGCTAAGTAACGCTAAGGAAGTTTTCTTTTCAAAAATTGTTTTTAAAAGTCAAAATGTCATTGTCAAAATTTCACTTTGTCTGAATCCAAATTTTCCGACTTTGCAGATCACTTATTAGACTCTAGAACTTTCTAAAAGTCCCTCAAATTAAAAATTTGACGCTTGAAATGCTATTCAAGATGAATAAAATTACCCCATTTAATGACAGAAAATTCTCGGAATTAGGGCGTTTTCAATCTGGAGGTCGGCAATTTTTTTCTATTTACTAAAAACTCATGAATACCCATTTGCTTTCCTCTTGAATTGTAACATAATGCGATCACAAAATCGAAAAAAACGGTGACCTACAAAAATATTGGGCGGTTTGGCCTATATACCCTCCTTATTTTGAATATTTTGGATTATAGAGTTGGATGAAACGGCCCAATATTTTTTTAGGCCACCTTTTTTTTCCACTTTGTAATCATGTTATCTTAAGATTGTGTGTTTATTATCTTAATCTTAAATTATTATCTTAAGAATGTGTGTATCTTACAAGTGGTAAGCAAGTGGGTATTCATGAGTTTTTAGTAACTAATTAAATAGACAATGTTTTCCGATCTGCAGATTGAAAACGCCCCAATCCCGAGAACTTATGTAAGCAAAC